CGTCTCGCTGCCCCAGCTCAACGAGGCAGCTTACGAGGGAGGCCGGGGCTCCACCAGCAAGTTCTCCTTCAAAAGCTCCTCCAACCGCTTCTCCAAAACGCAGCAGGCCTACGGTGAGGTGCTCGGTTCTGGGAGGAGATGATCCCAAGTTTTAGTTTCAAGCGCGGTCTTTCCTCCCGCCCGTGGAAGGTCTGCTCCCAGGGTGCCCCCCCAGAGTGGGGGAGGGATGGTTTCTCCCCCCTTCCCTCCCCAGTTGTAAGGGGGTTGCCCCCTGACTCCCCTCAGCCTTCCCCATGAGCAGCCTCCCCAGCGAAGCCACGCCCATCAAGGTGGCAAGGTCAAGGGGACCCATGGCACAGCCATGCCACCTCCATGCAGATGCTCCAACCCTGTCCCTAGCCGTGCCAACCCCTCCATCCCCCTCTGCTCCTCCAGGGGCTCCATCCCCATTGTGCCCACATCCTCCCCTGACAACCTGGCTCCAGGAGGGACCTTCCAGGTGCCTGGGACAGGACAGCTGGGTGGCTCTTCTCCGGCCTCACAGCACTGGGCTGTGGCTTCAGCTTTTCATCGGGGGAGGGAGGTCTGGAGCAGAGGGTCTCGGGGGCGGATCTGGGGAGCCTGCAGCAGCCGGGGAAGGTGGCTGGGCTCCGAGGGAAAGGCAAGCCGAGGCAATGCTGCCATCTCCTGGTCCTACCTGCCTGGCTCAGCCCCCACCGGCATTTTACCAAGCTCAGAGCCCACCTTGAGACCCTCAGCTGTAACTCCGGGCTTCGGAGATACCCACACAGAGACACTGGAGGCCAGTGCCACCGATGGGTGCATGAACTACACCACTTGGGTGGCAGTGTCCCTTGTCCCCTGAAGGTGTAAGGCAGGCTTCCTCCCACCTCACCAACCATCCCTCTTGCCTTGCAGGGCTAGAGTCTGGGTTTTGCACCATCCCTCGCGTCCCTCGAGCAGAGAAGGCCCAAGAGAACACCCTTCCTGGGGAAGAAGAGCTGAAGCACTCGGACTCCCTGCTCTCCTTCCGCCTGGACCTGGGCCCCTCCCTCATGAGTGAGCTCCTCCAGGTGATGAGCTTCTCTGAAACCAACGGGACCGAGGTGGCAGAGGACAGCCCGGACCCCCCATGCAGCGAGGGGACCAAAAATGGGGTCCTTGCAGCAGCGGGTGCTTCCCACAGAGAGGACAAGTCAACGCTCAGCTTCTGGGATGGCACAGGGCAGGGCAGCCTGTCTGGGGCCAGCTCGCTGCCGGGACTGGCGCCGCGTGCCAACGGGGAGGCACACGCCATCCAGGGTGCCGAAGAGGACTCTGCCTGGGCTCTGGGGCAGAGGGAGGCTCCCTGGCAAGGGCACTGGAACGACTGCACCATCGAGGCCGGGGAGTTTGAGAGGGCTGCCCAGGTCCTGGCCAGGCACTACGGTGGGACCAGCACCCCCAGGAGCTCGGAGAAGGGGGAGGGTCCCCGGCAGGCCCGGACGCAGACCCTCTGGGAGAGCCCCAGCAGCAGCTCTTGGCGGTCGCAAGTGACAGGGGAGAGAAGGTCCCCCGAGGCCACCTGGAACCAAGAAGAGGAGGAGGAGGAGGAGTCCAAGTGCTACAGCCTGCGGGAGGGGTATGGTGGTGCCCGGGGGACTCGCAGCAATTCCTTCGAGTACGCCGATGATGAAGAGGAGGATGATGAAGTCAAGGTGTGAACGGGCGTCTCTCCCACCATGGCTCCCCACCAGAAGCGCCAGTGCCAAGGTCTTCACCCTCCTCCCCATCTCCCCCACCCTCGGGCACCAGCACCACCAGCAGAGCCATCAGACAACCTCATTGCCAAGCTGGGGGCACTAGGGGGCTGGAGGGGGGCAGGAGGAGAGCCCGTCACCTGGGGGGAGTCCCTGGGATTGGGACAGGCCCAGAGAGGACTGTGGGTCACAGCTCAGGGCATCGTGGCCGTTCCACAGCCTCGCTGCCATTAGATGCCAAAGGGATCTTCCCATGTGCCAAAGAAACCCCAAACCCCTTCCTACCCCACTCTGTGCCCCACAGAACCCTCCCTTCCATCCCATCCCTCAGCCTGGCCCTCTCAGCATGTGTGGGGACATGGTCTGTCCCCCCACCAAAGCCCCACACTGCTGTGCTAGCATGGGTGCCCTCCCAGAGGTATTGCCACCCCCAGCTCTGGCACGTAGGGGATGGGGGTCTCCCCAGCTCCAGCTGCTGCAAGACCTTCCCATACAGCACATCTGTCTACCAGGGTGGGTCAGCTGGAGGCTCAAGGGCCAGGCAAACCCCATGGGACTGAGCTTTCTCTTCTCCTTTCCCCCCCAAAAAAGCCATGAGCTCAGCCTTCAGGAGGTGAGAGCATGCACAGAGAGAATCCACCCCTGAGGAGAGCTCCTTTTCTGACCCCCACCCCCTCGCAGCAGGCAGGGGAGAAACTTCTTGGCTGGCTGGAAGCAGAGGTGAGGTTGGCAGGTCAACCAAAATTCTGCAGCTCAGGCCTTAAAACTCCTCCTTTTTCTCCCTCCCTGCCCAGAACAAGGAGACTCCCACTCTGCAGCCGCTCGGTCTGCGCCGCTCCTTCTCCATCCTCGCCCCCTCTCCCCGTGCACACCCCTCTTTCCAGCACGCCCCTTCCCAGGGCTATGGGTGGAGGATGGCTAAAGCCACTTGCCAAGTGGCCCTGGGCAACGTGGCCACCCTGGAACTGGCCACCCCCCACGCTGCCCCTCGTGCAGACTGGCCCCGACAGAAGCCCCTTTGTGCTGGGGCCGAGATGCTCGGGGGCTGAGGTCACCGAAGGGACCCTGACAGGACCACTCCTTGTTCTCCAGGACAGGAGGGGGTGTGCAGGGGAGGGGGGAGATGCCAGGCAGTGGCTGCAGGGCTCTGCTCCCACGCAGCTCACCCGGCTGCTTCTGGCAGGGAGCTCTTTAGAGCAGGATCAAGAGCCAAGGCCGTGGACGTCCCGGGCAATCCCATCTCCCTCAGGGTCCCCAGGAGGCTGCCTCATGCTGGCAAGCCAGGGCAGGCAGCAGCCTCAATGGTTCTGGCCACTGGCACCCAGCAGGATCAGCCCTTATCATCCCCTGCACCCTCTGGGGCAGGAACCCTGGCTCTCAGGATGAGCTTCCCCACCCCCTCTGCTTCCCAGACCGTAACACAAGCTCCAGACCAAAGACCCACATCTGTGGAATATCCTTTCTGCCTCTACTCTGTACCCCGTGCACTTATTATTGTCCTTATTAAAGCAGTTTTGATACTAATTTCTCCTCTGGTGCCTCCCCTCAGCTGTAGTGACCTTATTGTCTCCCTTGCTGTGTCTGCTGGTGCCCCAGAGATAAAATACCACCGTCTCCACTCTCAGCAGGATTTTCCAGCACCTCTAGGATCCATGGATCATCCACTTTGCTGCTCCCCATGGCTAACACACAAAGCAACCTCCTGGGTAGCACGCAGGAGGGTGGCAAAGCTTCCTCCCCAGCCTGAAGCAGATCAGCACCCTCCCCAAAGCTGGCCTGGCTACAGCCCTTCCAGCCCATCAGAACATCCTCTGCCTGTGGGCTCAAATCTCACAGGTTGGATGGAGGAGCCACCTAACCCAGCCCAAACCCTGTCCTCCCTCCTCACCTGCCCCTGCTTCAGCTTTGCTGGGTAGGGTTTGGGGTGGAAATGTCAGAGTAATGGGTAACCTGGCTGGAATGTGCCAGCAGATAAGTGAGGTGAGATAAGGGGGGAAGTGGAGGAGACAACTCCTTATCATCGATGGCAGGAAGGCTGGCTCAGGGGCACTCCTCTGCTGCTTTCCCCATGCCACTGCTTCAGGTGGTACAGCTCCTGCAGGAGGGCACAGCATCCCTTCCTCCTGCCCACCAGAGCAGCCAGGAGAAACCCATCAAACCCACCTCCTGAGCTTCCCAAACCTAACATTTAACTATGTGCTTTCGTAGCACCAAATGCTACATTGGTCAGGTCTGTGCTTTTCTTCCTCTTCCTCCTTCCCTGCTTCCCTCCCAAAAACTCCAGTGTAGGAAAACACTGTATGCTGTGAAGAGGTTACATGGCTGTTCCCCAAGCTATCACACTGTCCTGCTCCTCCTGAGCTACACCCACAGCCTGCTTTGCCCTACCTTCTACCTCTTCAGCCTCACATCCTGGTCTGAGCTGGGAAAGCACCTGTTGTTAGCTGGGAGCTACCTCCATCCAGCATGGGCTCCTTTCCTGTTGGTGGAAAAACCTCAGGTTTTCTTGGTGTCTCACACCCAGCCACAGAGCCAGAGATCTCAGAGAAGTGAAAGCAGCTGGAGCAAGCAGTGTCCCATTGCTTTGTTTATTTTATTAAAGCTAGGAAGTGGTACCCATCAGTCCAGCTTGAAGGAGGTGACCCTGAAGCCTCCCTTGACACTCATGTACTTGATCTTGTCGTAGCAGTGTCGGTTGGGGAACTCAACTTTATGCCCATCTGGTAGTTTCACTTCAAATTTATCTGCCAGCATTTCAATGGCAATCTGGGAGGAGAGAGGGGAAGGCAGGCAGGAGTTGGGGACAAGGAGGAGATCAGGAGGTGAGCATCATCCAGGAAAAAGACCTGACTGTTACACATGAAGGGCAGACCTGGTCCCTACAGCCTTAAGCAAGGTACTGGGGGTTGAGCTGAGGGTGATGAAGGAAATAAGGAGTTGATATCAAGGGTCTGAGGTGGTCAGCTGGGGACAGGATGGGGTTGTTTCAACTACTGAGGTTGTAAACTCAGAGCAATTAAAGCCAAGTGTATCTTTATACGCCACGTGGCTTAGATCTGATCTGAACAGGGCAGAATAAACCCAGAACAAACCAGGAAAAAGGAGCTTCACTGATAAACACCCACACAAGCAGAAATCCCAGAGGCTGAGGGGCTGGTGGGTGGGAGCAGGAGGCATTAGAAAGGACCGGGAGGACTAAGGAACGAGAATCTTCCAGCCAAGGGCTTCCCCCTACCCACTCCCACACACACACTCCACAAGCCCAAAGCAGCAGAGAGCCCTCACCTTGACAGTGGAGCCCTTGGAGAAGCAGAGGTGGTCATCACGATGCTCTGCCTCCCAGGCCCCAGAGCACCTGGAGTTGCAGACGATGACAGACTCGTTGAAGCGAGGGTTGAAGTGAAAGGCCAGATCTGAGGAGCTGCAGCCCAGGTTGATGCTGAAGCTGGGGGTGAAAGGCAGGAAAGGTCAGCCACGTGGGCAGGGTAGGGTTTTGGAAGACCTGAGATCCAAAACACAGCTCTGCACCCAGTGCCTCCATCGGTGCTGCAGGTGCTGAATGCCTCCCCTTGTCTCATTCTGTTCAGAAATTGGGGGTTTGGCCCAGGGGTCACACAGGGGCTTCTCTAACACTAAGCTCTGGTCATGCTTTTTGTGCCTGGTGACCTCAGAAATCCCCCTCCCTCTGCAGCCCACCTTCAGTCCTGGCATGTCAAGCTGGTTTCTTTCTACTTACTTGTCCTCATCCTCAGATATCTTGCCCTTGACCTTCAGAGTGTTCCCAGGCTTCATATTCAGGTTGGAGATTTCCAGTTTTTCCTAGGGCAGAGAGAAAAATAGTCCATGGGTCTCCCTGAGCCATTCCTCCCTTGCCATTGTGAGTGAAAGGGAGAAGGTTGGAGAAGGTGCCCCAGCCAGAACAACATCTACTGCTCTCAGCTGATGTTCCTCTGATGGCCAAAGCCCCTCCATGCTGGAGGTCTTGCACAGGCTTCTCACTCAGTGAGGGAAGAGCTGGCTGAGTGAAGTCAGCAAGAAGAGACCTCAGAGAGAGAGGAGATGAAAAGAGGCTTCCCCTCAGCAGAAGGAAAGGAGAGCAGGACAGCAGAGGTGCAAAGAGGGTTCAAGCAAAGAGGGGCACAACCCAGGGTTTGGTGGGCAGCACCACCTGCAGCCCAGGAAATGCCAAGTGGTGAGAGCAAAGGTGGCTGTGGCTTTCCAGTCCCTCACTCAGCCTCGCTGAGTGACCACGGGTGCCAGAGGACAGAAGCAGCAACCCTTACAGACATCTTCTTCTGAGGGCAGAGCGACCAGGCAGGGAACCACCAGCAGTATGGTTCAGAAACCCTTCACAGGAAGGACCTTGCATCCCTGTGGCTTACACATTAACTGCACCCCCACCCCTGCAAGGCCCCACCAGCTGCTGTTAAGCCAGGAGACTTTGAACCAGATGAAACAGCTTCCCTACGAGCACGTCCTCTTGTTAGGGACTTCAGGAGATTCAACCAATTCCCAGTCTCCCAGTTGGAGGGACCGTGACACACAGCCCTTAGGGGTGCCACTCCAGCCACCACACAGGACAAGTGTCTTCCCAGCTGTCCATGGAGGTGTGAGCACAGTTCTGCACCTTGGCCAAAAGCATCATCCCAGCTCCTTCCTTTTGGGGCAGGGAGCAGCCCCCAAAATCCACACCAGCACATCAATGTGGTTGCCACCATCCCTCCCAATGGTACTCTGAGGAAGGGCTCCCAGGGCTTTGGAGGAGAGGGCAGCCAAGAAAGAATAGACACCCACACACCTTGACATCACCCTTCTCCCTGCAGCCATCCCAGGTCAAACCAGAGTCGTAGGTTAGAAAGGATCTTTAAAGGTCATCTAGTCCAAGCCCCCTGCAGTGAGCAGGGATATCTTCAACTAGATCAGCTGGCTCATGAGCCACATCCAACCTCACCTTGAATGGTTCATGCATGAGGCATCCACCACCTCTCTGAGCAACCTGGGCCAGTGTTTCACAACCCTCACTGTACAAAACTTCCTTCTATCTAGTCTGAATCTCCCCTCTTTTAGTTTAAAACCATCACCCCTTCTCCTGTCACAACAGGCCCTGCTAGAAAGACTGTCCCCATCTTTCTTATAGGCCCCCTTTAAGTACCAAAAGGCTGCAATAAGGTCTTCCTGGAGCCTTCTCTTCTCCAGGCTGACAAACCCCAACTCTCTCAGCCTTTCTTCACAGGAGAGGTGCTCCAGCCCTCTGATCATCTTCGTGGCCCTCCCCTGGACCTGCTCCAACAGGTTCATACCTTTACTGTGCTGAGGACACCAGAGCTGGACACAGGACTCCAGGTGAGGTCTCACCAGAGTGGAGTAGAGAGGGACAATCACCTCTCTAAACCTTTTCAATCCTCCTCAACCTGTTGGCCACACTTCTTTTGATGCAACCCAGGATATGGTTGGCTTTCTGGGCTGTAAGTGCTCTCCATCCTTTCATCCCCCAGCCTGCATCAATACCAGAGGTTGCCCTGACCCAGATGCAGGACCTTGCACTTGGCCTTGTTGAACCTCATGAGGTCCACAAGGGCCCACTTCTCAAGCTTGTCCAGGTCCCTCTGGATGACATCCCACCCCTCAGGTGTGTCAACCACACCACTCAGCTCAGTGCCACCTCCAAACAGGCCGAGCCCAGAGCCACCCCCTCAAAATATCAGCGTATCCCACTGGCTACAAGAGGTTTCTCTTCCCAGCAACTCATGTTGTCCTTTCACAGGGTTAAGGGCAGGACAAAGACATTGTTTGCAGAGCCACCACCATCAGGGTTAGTTACCTGACCTCACTTCAAGCCAGTGGAGAGAAAGAAACCCAAGCAGAGCATGTCTGAGGGATGGAGAGAATGAGCTGTGTGCGGAGCTGCAAGTACCAGGGATGTGAGAACGTGCAGGGAGGGAAGACAGGCAGGAAAGAGGCACGAGCTGCTGGAGAGGGGCTGTGAGATGTTGTCAAGATAACGCTAACCCCCCTCCTACAAGGCTCAGCAGGGGCGTTCACCCCCCTTTTATTTGCCACTGGGAACAATAGTGGGAAACCAGGCAGCAACTCTGCCAGCGCTGGCGACTTCCTTCGTCTGCAGGGCTGAGCCCCTGCGTGGTCAGGCACCAGCCCTGTGCAGATGGCCTCTCCTGGAGGAGGTGTGCTCCCCACACAAGGGGCTGAGACTTTAGGGACCCCAGAAGAGAGAAAAATCTCCAGTGCAATCAGAGGTGGCACTTGGAACAATGAAAGGAGGGTGCAGGGTGAGGTTGGCGCTTCCTTGTGGACACTGCAAAGCAGAACGCCTGGAGAAACAGGGATGGGATGGGAACATAAATCCCAAAGAAAGAGGAAATCCGGCTAAAAAGCATCAGCAAAGGAGGTGGAGGGTCTGTGTGTGCAGGGAGGAAAACACACGTGATGGCTGTGGAAGCTGGCAGCCAGCAGTGCGAGGGATCTTGGAACCCTTCACTCCCAGCGAGATGATCTGTTAACATTGTCCCTGCCTGGGGGGGTACAGATGACCAGGAGGGGTACAGACCCCCCCAGGGCCACCAGGAGATCAGATTCTATAGCCTAGAACCATCACAGAACTGTCGAGAACAGACTGGATGCCACCCTCCCCAGCAGGCTGCCAAGATCCTCGGCAGCATCTCTGCTGGCAGCACCATTTATTCTGTTCTCTTACTCGGGCAGGAGATAAGCCAGGGAGGTGTGAAGCCCTGAGGAGAACCAAGCCCTGGGAGACCCAGAAGAGGCAAGAGGTGCCCTCAGCACCCTAACGAAAGGCCGTGGTCTCAGTTTGGTGCCAACTGGAGGAGGACAGTGGTGGGGGGAAGGCGCCTGTCCTGTTTTGCATCAGCTGAAGGCAAAGGGAGCTGGAGAGAGCAACCATGCATTCTTTTTCGGAGTAGCAGCTGCTCCCTCTGCTATTATTTCCTACTGCTTCATATAATTTGTACTCCACAGAAGCTATTGTCCCTTTCCACTGGTTATTTATTTCCTTGAATAGCCTCTGGGGAAGGATTTCAGTGCAGGAGTAAAGAAAAAGAGGAAAAAAAACCTCCACACAATGAATATCAAGCAGTGACCTGATTTCAACTGTGTTCTCTGGCTTCTTCTGGGCCCTGCTTGTGGCTCCTCTTGGCAGTTGAGATCAAGCCACGTTTCTGACTCTGTTTTCCCTCTTTTATGAAGCCTAGCAGGGAATGCTCCCTGCCTCAGAGGGCTGCAGGGTGGATTTCAAGAAGCTGATCCCTGGATTTTCAGAGACCAGGGCTCAGGGCAAGCAGAAGAATCAACCATCAGCTCCTGCTGGAGCTGCTCAGTCCTCCTGCCAGTCACCAAAATTCCCAGATAGGTTTGAGAGGATTGGTTTTCCCCTTAGCAGAGAGGTTTGCCTTTCAGCAGGTAGCACTGCAACCTTCACCCAGCCAAGCCCAAAGCTCTGAAAGCCAGCCAGCTTCTTAATGGAGGAGGACCAAGAGAACAAAAAGTCCTTACCTCAGTCAAACAGTGAGGTAAGCAAGGGACTGGATAAGCAGGTTTGTGGATCTGGAGGGTGTGTACAGGGGGAGGATTGTCCAGGAGATGCAGGAAAAGCCAAGGCAGTGATGAGCACAAGGGAACTGGTGCTCATGAGCACTAACCCACTAGCCTAAGAGCAGAGCTGGATGGCTCCTCCAGGGAGGACTTGAAGAGTCTGTATTTGGAGTGGCTAAAATGGGAAAGAACAAAGGACTGGAGGTGAATCTCCTGACCCCCCTCATTCCCCAGGACCCCGAGAGTGCATCATCCAGAGCCCCTGTGGGAAGTATGGAAGCAGCAAGAACCTGGGGGCAGTGGATCAGAGGCCACCAGCATCTCCACCAGCACCAATGCCCGTCGTGTGCAGGGTGCAACTTCAAATCCACAGGAATGGACTGTTTCCAACCCCAGGGCCAAGTTATGTCCTACCTTTGCAGGGGACATCTCTCAGGTCTGTGGCAACACTTTTGTGTGCTACAAGGTCTGCAGAGAGAGAGGAGAAGGTGGTTCATCTGCATGCAAGCTGGTTCATAAAGCATCAGGGGAATTTCATCAACCCAGGCAGCCAGTTGAGTCATTTTCTATGGGTCCTCAAGCTGCCTGAGGGGCAGGAGAGCAAACCAAACCAGCAAAGGGTGGGGAAGGGAGGTCAGTGGATTGATTACATGCCACCCAGTTCCGTTTCCAGCCTTCATTTCTCTAATTCTTTCCCTCATGGGGGCATGCCAGGAATGTGGGTTGTGGGAAAGGCTTTCAAAAACACGCCTGGAGAGAAAAATGCACTTGTGTTGAAAGCCTCCCTACTGGCCAAGAGAAGATGCATAGAAGTCTCATGGCTTCCCCCCTTCTCTGAGACTTTTGGGGTCTCTCAGCTCGACCCAGACTCGATGGATATTATTAGTTTAATGGGAAAAGGATCTTCCAAAAAGCTCCCCACAAAGGATCAGCTTTGTGAGGTCTTACGCCCCCCTTGCATCTTGCATCAAAAGATGAAGAACTTTCATTTTGCATGAGGAGAATGAGGCACAGATAGCCAAGGTCACATCAAAAAACCCTCTTCTTATTTAGATTCTCATCTTAAAACTTCCACATCTGATGATAAAGAAAGAAATCCAGCTTTGCAAACCTGTCCTAGAAGCTAAAAGGAACCTGGGGGCCCAATGCAGGTTGAGTATCAGAGATGCTGCTGTCTCACCATACCATCTACTATCAACAGGAGGTACTGAGGCATTCAGTGCCTCTGAAAAACAAATTATCCCCTGCATGGC